CTCCTCCTCCTCCTCCTCCTCCTCCTCCTCCTCCTCCTCCTCCTCCTCCTACGATCGGCTGCGACTCTCTGCGGGGGGCCTCCTCGGGGACCTCCACGCCCTCCGCGCCCGCGCACGCGGCCTCCGCGTCCGCCGTGGTCACGGACAGCGGCGCAGCGGGCGCGGTAGCCTCCGCCCGCGGGCGGACCGCCGCCGCGATGAGCTGCGCGACGCCGTCGTCCGTGACTGGCTGCACCTCGCGGGGAGGAGGAGCGGGTCGCGTGCCATCGCTCTGACGGTGATGGGCTTGTTTTCCGCCGCCACCACCACCACCACAAGTTGGAGAGAGAGAGAGAGAAGGCGATGGGGGATGAGGACCAGGAGGAAGAAGCGGGAGGAGGAGGAGGAGGAGGAGGAGGAGGAGGAGGACCCCCCTTCCCCCTCCAGCTTCTTGTTGGCGGTGGTGGGCAATAGGTCCATCAGACGCCAACTCCCGCTCGGAGAGAAGGGCGCTAACGCGGAGAAGGGGGGCGGAGAAAAGAAGGCGCTGACGCGCGGCCTTTACGCACGGGAAGCCTGCGCGCGGCTGGTCCGCGCCGCCGGCCCCGTTTCTTCTTCCGGCCCCTGGGGAGGCTGGGGCCCCCAGAGGACGAGGGGCCCCGAACGGCGCAGATGCTGCCTGGGATCCCTTCCTATCCTTCGGCGAAGGAGAAAAAAAACGGCGCAGGCAGAAGCTCCCTCGGAGGTGACAAGGGGAGAGTTATTGGATCGGTGCTGGACCCCCCCCTCCATGGCACGCGGAGTGCACCACGGGAGGCGCCGGAGGCGCCGCCAGGGAGGGGTCCGAGCACAGATCCAAGAAATCCGCGCGCAGCTCAGAAAGTGTATGATTATGACGTTCGTTGTTCCTCGACCTAAGAACGAGGAGCCTCGAACAGTGCAACTTCCACCTGGGATCCCATCCTATCCTCAGGGCCCATCCCTCAGGGCCCCATCTTCCAAGACGTCCGATGTCTCGAGTTTTACCATACAGGGTCCCCCAAAGTCCCGACCCTTGCCCCAGGGCCCTTGTTCGTCCCGCATCGCTTTGTTGACGGTCCCTGGGGCCAGGCGAGGACCACCCTCGAGGCCGAAAACGGCCAAGAACCTCCCTGCGGGATTGTGTTTTTCTTCGCACCTCCAGCCGGAACAGGAAACGGTCGTACAGCGCCTCCAGCTCCTCGGACTCTGGCGGCTCGTTGGAGGCGGCCACCAGGCAGCGCAGCGGCACGGGCTCGCGACCGGCCCCGTTGTCGAAGACGCGCTCGCTCATGATGGACAGGAGCGTGTTGAGGATGGCGGAGTTCGCCTTGAAGATCTCGTCCACGAAGGCGACGGTGTGGTGAGGCTTCGGGCTGCGCGCAGGCAGCCCCGCCCAGGTAGTCCCGGTTGGCCTTAGCAGGTCCCTCGGGTACTCCAGATTTCGTAATAAAGGGAGGGGGGTCTCATTTCGGGGGGGGGTCTCTTCCAGGCCATCTTGGAGGGCCTGGGGGGGTCTGGGGACGATGTTTTGGAGGGTTCTCCCACGGGGGGGGGTCTAAAACTTCTCGTCTGGGAGGATTGAGACCCCCTCCCTTTTATTACGAAATCTGGGGTAGTCCCAGCTGGACTCAGCAGGCCCCCGGAGCAGTCTGGGGCGGTCTGGACACCCTGGCGCCGCCTACGGCGACGCCCCTGGGGCGCTCTGCGCCCCAGGCTTGAGGTGTTGAGACAGCCTCAGGCCACTCGGGGGGCCTGTTGAGGCCAGCTGGGACCAGTAGTAGCACTCGGAGGGCCTGTTGAGTCCAGCTGGGACTATCTGGGAGGGGGCCGCCTGTGTGCAATCCGGAGCCTTACCACGACGGTGGCCGAGGGGAGGTAGCCCGCCGTCTGGCGCACGTACTCGTCGCGCTCCAGGCCCCGCAGCGACAGAGGCCCGAACAGCTCCTCCGGAACGGAGAAGCGCGTGAGCAGCCGCTCGAAGAAGCCGGCTCCGGGGCCGCCCAGCCGCGCGAGGCGGCGGGCCTGGAGGGACAAACAGCCGCCAAACCCTGAACTCGCCGAGGTCCGCGCGGAGATCTTGGATCGGCGCCAGGCCACCCCTCCCAGGCGCGCAGAGCGCGGCAGAGGGCCGCGCCTAGAGGGGCGCGCCTGAGGGGCGCGCCTGAAGGGCGCGCCTGGGCGGCCACCATGTGGGGGGACCCGACGACGATCCAAGAAATCCGCGCGGAGCTCCGAAAGTCTGATGACGGCAGGCTTACGTATGTCGTGACGACTTCGGCATTGGTTTCTGACACCGCGGGGATCGTTCCACCTTGAACGATCGGCCCTTTCCAAACCGTCTACATTCAACACCGACCGATTCTGGGTCGCGTTGAACGCCGGCGGCGGGGACGCCGCCGGTCGACACGGCGCGAACCTACAGTCAACCCGTAGAATCAGGACGCACGACAAGGACGCAAGGGCCTCGGAAGGCCATGCCGACACTTTGCGAGCGAGGCGCGGCCAACGAGAGTGGCCAAGCATGGACCGAGGAGGCAAGGAAGCAAGGGTACCCTTGGGAAGGCTGACCATCCTTCCTATGCGGGCTGACTGTACCTCCTCCTCCTCCTCGTCCTTCCTTCTCCTCCTCCTCCCTCCTCCTCCTCCTCCTCCTCCTCCTCCACCTCCTCCTCCTCCTCCTCCTCCTCCTCCTCCTCCTCCTCCCTCCTCCTCCTCCTCCTCCTCCTCATCCTCCTCCTCCTCCTCCTCCTCCTCCTCCTCCTCCTCCTCCTCCTCCTCCTCCTCCTCCTCCTCCTCTCTCCTCCTCCTCCTCCTCCTCCTCCTCCTCCTCCTCTCATGCTCCTCCTCCTCCTCCTCCTCCTTCCTCCTCCTCCTCCTCCTCCTCCTCTCCTGCTCCTGCGCCCTGCTCCTCCTCCTCCTCCTCCTCCCTCCTCCTCCTCCTCCTCCTCCTCCTCCTCCGCCTCCTCCTCCTCCTCCTCCCTCCTCCTCCTCCTCCTCCTCCCTCCTCCTCCTACTCCTCCTCCTCCTCCTCCTCTCCTCCTCCTCCTCCTCCTCCTCCTCCTCCTCCTCCTCCTCCTCCTCCTCCTCCACAACTATGCGTATGCTGTTTTTGTTTCCTTCTGCGAGGGCCAGCAGGCTCTTGCCCGTGCCGGGCGGCCCGGTCAGCAGCACGTGCTCGCCGCAGAAGGCGGCCAGCAGCAGGGCCCGCGCCTCCACGGAGCGCTGCACCAGGCCCTCCTCCAGGGCCTCGGCCGCGGCGGCGATCCTCGGCGCCAGCGGCTGCCTCGCGCCGCTCTCCGCGTCGGCGGCGCCCTCGCCCTCGCCGCCCTCCTGGAGGACGGCACGGCCCACCGCCACACCCAGCCAGGGCCCCCACTCCCGGCCTGGTGATGCGGAGGGCCCCAGCATGGACCCCCCTGGATCACGTCGGCAGTGGGGGAGTCTTGGAGGGGGGTGGCGGTGGGCTGTGCTGCACTCAGTCCTGCGCCCACGCCTCCAGGCGCCCGCGCGCCGCGCGGTCCACGAGCGCCTCTCAGGGGCAACGATACGGGGGGGACCAGCTCAGGGTTGGAAACATACAGTCGAGGCGTTGACCTAAGGAACCCTAAGCAAGGAACAAGGCCCCTTTTTTCCCAAAAGTTCAACCTCGATTTCCCATGGAAAACCTCAGGAAAACCCGAGGCAAACTTTGAAACACATCAAAGAACACCGAGCCCCTCTCTAACGAAACGGGTTCCTTCTGCAGCGCCCCGACTGTAGAGCTCGAATCGGCGATACATCGCCGATGGATCGGGGACAGGCCCCCGACAGCGGCGGGGCGGGCTGCTGGGCCCCGGTCGGCGATCGGTGGGCGATGGGAGGTCGATGCGCTCCCTGCCCTGAGCCCGTGCCCCCCCCCTTCCTGGGAAAACCGACAGGTACCCATGCCGCTTCCCCCCCGGACCTCGCCCGGGGCTGCGCTCGGACCAGAAGCTCGAGGCGACTCCGGCGGCGGCGACGACGGCCTCCCGGGAGGCCCGACAAGAGGAGGGGTAAACGAACATCTGTGGCACCAGCTCCTCCTCTGACCATCGTTGCCCCTGAGCCTCCAGCTCCCCAGCGGCGCAGGCGACGACGGCGCCCGAGGGCCGCCCGCCGCGGCGAGCCCCCGCGAGGCGCCCCGCCGCAGGCCGCGGCGGCACGAAGAGCCGCGCGGCCGGCGGGGCCGCGCCGCACAGCAGCGCCGCCGCGGCCAGCGGGCCCGCGGCCGCGCGCGCGCGCGGCGCGGGCGCGCCCCGCCGCCCATGGGCCGCGACGCGGGAGGGGAAGGGAGGAGGGGAGGAGGGGGAGGAGGAGGAGGGAGGGAGGAGGAGGAGGAGGAGGAGGAGGAGGAGGAGAGGAGGAGGAGGAGGAGGAGGAGGAGGAGGAGGAGGAGGAGGAGAGGATCGAGGAGGAGGAGGATCGAGGAGGAGGAGCAGGAGGAGAAGGACGAGGAGGGCAGGAGGAGGAGGAGGAGGAGGAGGATGAGGATCGAGGAGATGGATCGAGGATCGAGGATCGAGGCGGAGGGTCTGGGGCAGCCCCGCGGGGCGGGGGCGGCGCCTTGGGGGTCCGCCAGGCCCTCTCGGAGAGCAGGGGCTTCGCTGAAGAAAAGAAACAAACGAAAAAAACGCTGGGGACTGATTTGGGCCGTCTCGTGTTCAAGATCGTCACAAATTGTTTCCCCCGTGTTGCTGTCCGTTGCTTGTCCGTTCGCGCCGTGTTCGGTAGGGGTCCGTTCTGTACTGCAGTGTTCGTTATGTTTCGGGCTGGCGATGTTCAGCGGGAGGCGGGGGCGGCTGTCCGCAAGCTCGTCTGGCCGCTCCTGGAGCTCTCCTGGGGAGAGAGCTGTGCCCTGCACGCCCATTGGCGCCCGCAGCCGAGCTATTTCAAGGGTTTGGTTATGCTGTGGACCGCCGTGGGCCGCCGTGGGCTTCCAGAGACCTCCATGGGGCCAGAGAGAGGGCAGGGAAGGCAGGGAAGGGAATGACCTTCAGGCTGCCATTGAAAGATCACGGCGGCCGCGTCTTCTGAACTGCGGCTCCAGGCTGATGGTGATGGTGACGGTGACGGTGATGATGGCGACGACGAATATGCTTATGGTGGTGATGGTGGTGGTCATGGTGATGGTGATGGTGGTTGTGACGATGATGCTGGTGTCAATCATGATGATGATGATGCCGATTATGATACTGATGATGATGGTGGTAGGATGATGATGGTTATGGTGGTGATGATGACGATGATGATGATGATGATGATGATGATAAGGGTAGCTACTCTGATGGCGTTGGTGATAATGGTGGTGATGATGGCATTGGTGACGGCGAGCGTGATGGTGATGGTGATGATGGTTGTGACGATGATGATGGTGTCAGTCATGATGAAATTGATAATGCCAAATCTGATACTGATAATGATGGTGGTAGGAGGATGATGATGATGATGATGGTGGCGGTGATGATGATGATGATGATGGCGGTGGTAGGATGATGAGATAATAATGATCACTATGATGATTATGATGATGGTGCTGATGATGATGGTGATGATGATGGCGGTGACGATGATGATGGCAATGTCGATGGTACTGGTGATGAGTAAGCTGATGATTATGGCAATGTTAATCCTAATGATACTGAGAAATATGATGGCGACGACGATGATAATGATGATACTGACGATGATGATGAAGATGATGATTATGATGGTGATGATGATGATTATGATGATGGTGAGGGGCATGATGATGATCGACGATGATGATGGTGATGCTGATGATGTTGGTGATGGTGATGGTGATGATAAGTATGATTATGACGATATTGATAGTGCTAGGGGTGATGATGACGATATTGAGAATGATGGTGATGGTGATGGTGCTGGTGAAGGTGATGATGATTGTGTGATGGTGATGGTGATGGTGATGGTGATGGTGATGGTGATGGTGATGGTGATGGTGATGGTGATGGTGATTGTGATGGTGATGGTCATGGTGATGGTGATGGTAATGGTGGTGGTGATGATGATGACGATGACGCATGGCGATGATTGTGATGGTGATGTTGATGGCGATGCGGATGGTGAAGATGATTATGATGATGCTGATCATGATGGTGACGGTGATGGTGACGATGATGATTATGATGATGATGATGATGATGATGATGATGATAAGGGTAGCTACTCTGATGGCGTTGGTGATAATGGTGGTGATGATGATGATCATCATCATCATGAGGATGGTGATGACATTGCTGATGGTGATGGTGATGATGCTGATGATGATGAAGATGACGATGATGGCGATGACGATAATGCTGATTATGACTATGCTGATGACTCTTGAACTGGTAATGCCAATAACACTGATGATGGTGATGATGCTGACGATTGTTACGATGGTGATGATGGTGATGATGATGATGATGATGTCGACGACGACGACGATAATGATTATGATTATGATGATGATGATGATGATGATGATGATGATGATGATGATGATTATGACGAGGATGAGGATGGTGCTGATGATGATGATGATGATGATGATGATGCTGATGCTGATGCTGATGCTGATGCTGATGCTGATGCTGATGCTGCTGCGACCAATTCTTCTGAATTGTGGTCCCAAGCCGGCGAAAGACCGGCTCCAGGAGGGTTCTCGAGAGCCCAGGGGCCCACGTCGAAGAGAAGCTGCAACGTCGGAGGCCAGAAGCCCGGGGCTGCGGCGAGGCGGTCCGCGAGGACCTCGATGGGGCAAGGGCGGCAGACGGCGGAGGAGAGCTGGCAGGCGCCAACCACACGCCTGCGACAAGGCTCGTGTCGTGATGACTTCGGCGTGAGCTTCTGACACGAGGGGATGGGCGGCTTTCCGATCGCCGGATCCTTGCATGGGCGGCGAGGGAGGGGGGGAAGTGAGAAGGGGCGGGCCTTGCCAGAAGGCTCGGGAGTCCCCCAGCCCTCTGAGAAGTTTCCCAAACCTTCCCCGAAGACAGGGAAACTTCTCAGAAGGCGCGAGGGCTTCTGAGAAGTCCCGCCGCCTTCTGAGAAGGCCTTCTCCTCCTCACTTCCCCCCCTGGGAACATCAGTCAAAGTCAATGCCAAGATCCCTCCCGGGGTCCATCCGACACGGTTTTTCGCCCAGCATCGAGTTTCGGGGGCCCCGGGGCCCGAAGACGGCCGCCAGAAGCCGAAAACTATGAAAAACCGCCTCTGAGGGGCAACGACAGGGGGGGGGATAGGCATAGGGGGGGATGCATCGACCTGGAATCGGCGACACATGGCCGATAGATCGGCGATAGGCGCCCGACAGTGAGTCCACACCTTCCTGGGCGGGGTGGGGCTATCGGGCCCCGATCGGCGATCCATGGGCGATTGGGGGTCGAGGCACCCCCCCCATACTGGCCATCGCTCGGACGTCCACTCCCTGTGCTCTGTTCGGCTTCGCGCGTGGCTTCTTCGGCAAATGATCAAGGATACTTCTCGATGGTCCTCGCCGAGGAAAAAAAAACACACACGTCCGAGCGATGCCAGGCATATGCCTATCCCCCCCTGTCGTTGCCCCTGAGCCTCGAGCCTCGAAGTGCCCCCGCGCGCTCGCGCAGGCTGGCCGCTTCTGGACGCATGAACTGGCCATCGCTCGGACGTCCGTTTCCTGTGTTTTTTTCGTTTCGTGCGTGGTTTTTTCGCCAAATGATCAAGGATGCTCCTCGATGGTCCTCGCCGAAGGGAAAATGCGCACGTCCGAGCGATGCCAAGTGAAAAGCGACCCCTGCCCCCCACATGAGGAACTTTAGACCAAGTGTAAGGCAATGGCCTCGCTTCAAAGGGGCGCCTACACTCACACACCTCCGCCGCAGCGGCAAAACGCTGACACACAAAATCGATAGTTAGCTGGGGCCGGGGCCGGTTCCCCACTGCTCACGCTCGCTCGCCGCCGCTTGCAGGCTGGCCGCTTCTGGGCCGCCTGCAGCGCTCGCCCCTGGGGCGCCCGCGGCGGGGCCGCTGCCGCACCGGCCCTGCGCTCGGGAGCGGCCAAGAGGGGGGTGTCCAAGAGGGGGGGGGGGCAAATCATGACCGGCGGCACGTGCGCGGCCCAGCGGGGGGGCCAGGGACGTAATGAAACAAGAAGAGGCGCCATGAAATCTGGGGAAACATCATGGCCCCCGCCATGATATCCACCCCCGCCTAGTCATCACCCCCCTCTTTTCCGCCCCCAATGCGCACAGCCCGCCGCGCGCGCCGAGCCAGGCCGGGCACCTCCCGGCCACGCCCCCGCCGGCCCTGCGCACAGCCCGCTCGCCGGTCGGCCCGTGAGGCCAGGAGTGAGCCGCCGCCGCCGGCGCTGGCGACGCCGGCGACGCCGACGGCGCCGGCGACGACGGCGACGGCGACGACGCCGACGACGCCGACGACGACGGCGACGCCGACGACGCCGACGACAAAGACGGTGACGCCGACGACAAAGACGACGGCGCCGGCGACGGCGACGAAGACGGCGACGCCGACGACGACGACGACGGCGCCGACGACGACGACGACGACGGCGACGGCGTCGACGACGACGGCGGCGTCGACGACGACGACGAAGACGGCGGCGACGGCGACGACGACCCTAGGGTCTTGCGTGCGCTGCGTTCGAGGCTGAATTTCCTGGGAGTTCAGCCGTGGCGGCGAGAGCGCCCAGGAAGGCAGCAGAAAACGAAAACATTCAACATTGAACCTTTATCCTTGAACAACTGCGACGAAGACAATCTTCGACAGCGGCGACGACGACGACGACGACGGTGTCCTTAGATCCAAATCCGCTGACAGTCTGTCTGTGGACCCCTCCTGGGGCCCATCCTGGCAGGATTATCGTCCCAGCTCGGTGGTTGACAATCCCGGATCTTCCAGAGGCTAAAACTGCGAAAAGCACGGCTTACCCCAGCGCCCCAGGTCTTGGAAACATCTCCTCCATCGACGGCGACGACGACGGCGGCGGCGGAGACGATAGCAACGGTGTGGACGTCGACCTACGATTCTCTGGGAGCCTCCGAGGAACTCTGGAAACATCCAGAAGTGTACGACCACGACCACGACCACGACGACAGGACGACGACGAGGACGAGGCCGAGGACAAGCACGGGGCTCTGATCCACGCAGGGGAAACCAACAGCAGCATCACCACCGTGCCCAACAACCGCACGAAAATGAACACCGTCGACGAGCTGGACAAACGGACACACGAAAGACCTCCAATCCAAACAGAGGGGAGGACGCTCGGAAACACAGATCAGCAGACGGGCCAACGCACTCCGAATTAACAATCTGCGACCGTGGCACCCTACCATGGTCCACTCCGCACAATACTCGGCGCATCCATTCCAGCCTCTGTTCCAAGGCTCGCGGGTCACACGACGTTTCTCGCGAACTTCAGATTCCATTCCCCCGCGCGCATGCTGCGCACAAGCATCGCCCATCGACGCCGATTTCACGATGATGCAACAACAGCGCACGTCGCGCGAGTCGGCCGTGCCTTCCCCTGTCCGACTGCCCCAGGCATCCTCCAGGAGCTCCGCTGCGACTCCGCAGCCACGCGCGCGCGTGCACAGGGCGGGGAATTTGTAGCCCGCGGGTAAATCAACTGCGCCCGCGCCCACGCGAGCGCGCACCAGTGAGACATTCAGGCCCCGCTGCCGCTCGTGAGCCGTTTTGAAAAACCTTCGATAGCAACGCCCTCCCGCGCGCGCGGGACCACCGGCGGGGGATTTGTAGCCTCCGGGTAAATATACTCCGCCACAGCAACTGTGACTATCAAGATTTCCACGACAGCTACCGCGAGCACCGCCACCTGTTTGACGATGAACAGCTGCTACGTCAAGGCGAACACAAACGCGCAAACAAGTGCGGCCAACACCAATACTATACAAGCAGCGAACAACGCACCCCCTACAACGGCAGATGGCAGCAACCCAGACCTGCTCGACACGACCGCAGAACTTACCGCCATACCGAATGCGAACGACTGCGCCACCATGTCGCCTGCAAACAACAGCCGCGCCACCACGACTGCGAGTGGCAACAATGCCAGAACTACGTCCACAGCCGCACATGCTACGAACACCACCACGCCGACCAGCACATCGACGTTCATCACTGCGACCACCAGCGCCATCTCGACACCTGCTGCGGCCTGCACCGCCACCGCAGTGGAAGACAATAGCAAGCCCACAGCGAGCGGCACGATCGCGACGAACTGTAGCACCACAGCGGCGGCAGCCAACAACAACGCGACGATTACAATCCGGACCAGCACGACTATGGACAAATTTCAAAAATTGCGAGCGCTTCCCACTTCTATGAAGACCATGCACTACGACTGAATCGATACTCTGCGCGGGCTGCGCCCCTCCTCTTCGCACCGCACATCCGCGCTCCGCGCTGCGCCTTCTCCCGCGGCAACACCACTCCCAGCGCCCTATCGTTCTATGCCCCTCGCTTCGCTCCACCATGGACTCGCCTCCGCTTGCCTCAGCCCTTGTCCATGTCCCCCTTGCAGCACGCACGTCCGCTGCCTCTTTCTTGCCGTTTCGCTCGCCCGCCCCCACTTGACCGTCGGGCACAATGCCCCCAGGCAGACCGCCACGGGGCACAAGGCCCCCAGAAACGTCGCGCTCACGGTACTTAATTGTGAATTCCCGCATTGGGTAGCCTTCAGCACGTAACCCCAGCTGGAAAGGGGATGCCACGTAACCCCGGGCAAGGGTTGCCACGTAACCCCGGGCAGGGGACACTCTGTGGATTCCGTCATTGCTGCCTGCACCGGCAGCCATGGCGCCCGCCGGCCACGGCGCAACCCGAAGTTGGGCTCTGCGGCAGCCAACCAGCTAGCTTGAGCCTCGGCGCGCGTTGTCGTCGCCAACTCCTCCCGCCTCCTCCTGCTCCCTCCCCTCGTCCTGCTGCTGCTGCTGCTGCTCCTCCTCCTCCTCATCTTTCTCCGCCTCCTCCTCCTCGCCCTCCTCCTGCTAGCGCCCCACTTACGAAGAACCGCAGAATGTTCGCTCCAACGTTGCACCAAAGTGGCCTCTGCTGATTTTTTGGGAGAGCTGGACCTCGGGGCATGGCCCTGGCCAGGCATGGTGGTCTTCTACTGGCGCCCCCTGCGGACTGGTTTTCCATGTGCCGTGGTCTCTCCTGTGCTCATCTTTGACCTAGCTCAGTGGCCTAGGTGGCCCCCTGTGCGCCACACACGTGGCCCATGGCAACAGGAAGGGACACTGAGGCAGAGGCTGAACGGCACTGCGACTTCTCATGCGAAGGCGCTTCGGGCGAAGGATCATTAAAAATGATGCCACAACCGACGCGACCTTTGACCCGCTTGTTGGGCTCGGGTTCGCCCCTTTTGTACAAAACATGCAAGCAGTCCCAGCCTCGGCGCTAAACGTGGCCGAGGGGTGACTGTGGCGGGGCGCGCAGGCGACACGCGGGTAACGGGGGTGGCGTTGCGAACGGTCCAGGAGCGGGGAAAGCGCAGTTCGTTGCAGCATGGAGTGGGAGAGGTCGCAGTGATGGGAAAGAGTGCGGGGGCCAGTGCGCCCGCGACGGGGCCGTCGCTGCCGGCGCGGGCGACGGGGGCGCCGCCGCGCAGAGGGGCGCGCGCGAGAGGGGAGGCACGGGCGTGGGCGGCGAACCAGAGGCAGAGACACAAGGAGTGGAACGATAACTCACACGCCGCATGCTGTTTCTCACCCCCCGCCTTTCCTTCCTAAATGTACAATGCCGCCACCTACGCGGCGGCACGTCAACTGCTGCGACGGCGCTTCTTCGTGGCTGACAGCGCGTGCGATAGCGCCTGCATGCCTCGAACCGCCGGCCAGTGAATGACCGAATTGGCGTTCAGACCAACTGCTCCTGCTGCGACGCACAATGCACGTCTGATGCTTACCAAAAGCTGCGCTCCAAAACCCCTGAGACCCGCACCGCCGCAGCAGAACATCCATGCGGGGGTGGCGTCGCGGCGCTCATTGGCGCAGCCTCTGTTATCCGCAAATTCTTGGCGGGACTCAGCGGTGCCAGCGTTGCCTCGTAACGCCGCAAGCTCCGCAATCACGTCAGCAACGTTCGCTGCACTCGGCATGCTACTGGGTCGGGCCGACCCGGTCGCTTCAAAGGACGCTATCCACTCCGCTCCGTCGCTGTACTCCCTGCACTCGCCAAGCGAGGCCGCCGCTGCTGAAAATCTGCCCCAACCCACGTCGCGGGAGGTCCGCCGCCCCGCGCGAGGCTCCTGCGCGTCAGTCCTGCCCCCCACTTACTGTTCAATCATGTAGAATCCGGGCCCTCCACCGTCGATGTTTGCTCATGCCCCACCCGCCCCCCCCCTGGGGCATGCGGCAATGTGCCGCGGGGCGCGCGACTGAACCCAGCAAGAACTTGCCCATCACATTGCACCAATACCTTCGAAACGAATGCCTGGGGCATCGCGCTGCACAACACCTCGGCTGCAGCTTTTCGACCTGGCCGCCCCGCATGCGGCGCCGCGGGCCCCCCAAGAAGCATGCGAAACCCCATGCCACCATCGGGCGTCTGCTCGCTACCACTCATGGTAGTCACTGGGAACGCCTGCGCTGCACGCGCTATCAAATGAGCCTCACATGGCTATGGCGACAATTCAATCCAACGCGGCCCCACAAGCGCCCAAGAGCAACCGCGCAGACCCGCAAGCGAGTTCCAGGAGCTGAAGTTGCAGTTTCCAGAGAGCCAGCCTCAGGCAGGCCCTCCCTCGCCCCCCTCTTCTCGAAGCCAACGGAAATCATTTATACAAATGAGGTGTCTCACATTCTTTCCTTACCGTGGCAAGATGGGGAGGCTGCCCATTCGGGATGGCCCCAGGATTGTTACCAATGCTTTCGGATCGCCTCTCCAACATCATTATTATTTCAATTCGCATTACAATTGTTGCACGCACACCTTGTCTCCCATCTCCCCTGCCCACTCCACTTTTGCATGCGCCGTGGTCTCTCGTGTGCTCATCTTTGACCTAGATCAGTGGCCTAGGTGGCCCCTTCTGCACCACGCGCGTGGCCCATGGCAACAGGAAGGGATATTGAGGCGGAGGCTGCGCGGCACTGCGACTTCCCATACGAAGGCGCTTCGGGCGAGGGATCATTCAAAATGCTGCCACAACCGACGTGACATTTGAACCCGCTTGTTGGGTTCGGGTTCGCCCCTTTTGTACAAAACATGCAAGCCGTCTCGGCCTCGGCGCAGATTGCCCCCTGAGTTTCCCCCCCGTTCGTTATTTCTCCGATGATTGACAAAACCCCAATATCATGTGGTCAGACAGACTATGAATAAAAGCGTAGCTGGTTGCAGCAATGCTGCGCAATCCCGCAGGTCGGGCGCAACCACACTGCGGCACGAAATGAAAACCCTGCCCGGACTCGCAGAGAGCCGCCAATCGCCCGTTAACAATAGAAAGGCGTCGCCCCTCCACTCCTCTAAGGTGCGGCGCGCCATTCTGCTGGAGGACGCAGCGACGCGCTGCTCGGCTCACCCTCACTTGCTCATGCCGTCGATCCCCCGTCGACTTTCCTCCTCTTGTTCGGAGGGCCGTCATCGTCATCATCATCATTGTCCTCGGGCTTCTGCCCTGAGCCGTCATCGGACTCCGCCGCCGGGCCGCCCTCGCCCGCTGGATCCGCGGGAGTCGACCGCGCTGCTTCCTCTGTCGCGCCCGCCCCCAGCCCCGCCGCGTCGCCCACCTTTGCCCCCTCTGGCGGCGCCGCCCCCGGCCCCGCCGAGCCTTTCACGCCCTGCTCCTTGAGCTTGTCGAGGTCCTGCGGGGGCAATCACTGAAACCTTTATCGCATACAGACTTTCCACGACCACTGAGTAGCTGACGGCCTAATCTCACACCCCCCCTCAGAGGCCCTTCGTCTCTACTGTTTATCGTTTCGGCCTGGCGCCCTCGAAAGTGCGCGCGCCCCCCCCCCCCCACATATGCCCCCAGGGGCGCAATGTCACAGCGCTTAACGAACAACTAGGTCTGGGGCGTTCTGAAAGAAAATGACCCAGGCAACGCTGCAGAAACGACGGCAAACTCCTGCAACAGACCGCCCACCTGCACAACGAGCTCCTGCAGCTCCGCGGGATCGCGAGTCGACGCCATCCGGTGCTGCGCCGCCGCAAGCTGCCGCTCAATTGCCGCTGCCGCAGGGTCAGCCCCCAGCGCTGAGTCTGCAGGCTGGAGCGCTGCAAGGCCGCCGCTTGCCCCGCCGGCGGCTGCTGGCTCCGTCGCAGGCGGCGCGCCTGGGCGAGGGGGGCCACCCTGCCCGCCTGGGCCGCGCGCCGCCGCGCGCGCCTGCGTCGCAGGCGGGGCAGGGCTTGGGAGCGGAGCGTCGCTGGGCAACACGCGAATGCGGGCCGTTCCTGGCCACGCCTGGATGCCACCACCCCATGACTTCCCGTCCAGAACCAAGATGCTGGATCCTTTTTTGCACCCGAGCCTCTGGAATGTCCCGACCATCTCGTCCCACAGGCGAAGCCGGATGCCCTGTGGCGGGCGCCCGTCGCCAGACTGGACGCCCACCATGACGTCCAGGGAGGCCCGCTTCTCAGTGATGGGGTCGCCGGCGACGCGGATCGCCCCCGCAAAAGAATGCAGCGCGTTCGGCTCCCCCTGGATGTCCTTCACCGTCGACAGCTGAATGTCCAGCTGCGAGGGCGTCACAGCGCTCGGGGCGATCGCGTTGGGCGGCAGCTTCGCAATGACACTGCCCACAGAGGGAATCAAGTTGAGCTCCCCCTCGTACTCCTGCACCTCAAAGTTCTGCACTATGAGCAGGCCCCCCTCTGCGCACCCCTTCAGCACCCGCGGCACCGCGCCGAACTCCTTCAAGATCACCTTGCGGCTGACGTCCTCCACCTCGACGGCCCGAATGTGCGCGCCGTTCTTCGTCTTCCAAACGCCGTGGGTTTTGGCAGCTCGCACCAGCAGGGTGTAGTCGAGAGATGCAACTGACAACGACGAGATGGTATCGAAGTGCACTGGAACGGGCTCAGCAAACACCGCAATCTCCCCGGTGATCGGGCCGCGGCGGCCCTGCGCTGCGACTGAGCGACTCTGCGCGGCACTCTGCGAGGCCGGGGCGCGACGTTGAGAGAACGCGGGTGCACTGGCCATCGCGCAGAACTGGAGGGCACGGGGAAGAGGCTTCGAGGCCGAGACAGCTGGAGTAAAAATGGCTATGGCAAACGACGCATGACTCACGCACATGCCGTGCCAGACAACGCAGCCTAAGGCGCCCGACGCCGTCTGACAGCGGCCACGCATCCAACGCAGTGGCCCGGGCATTCGCGGATTGACCCCCCCAACCAAAAAGAGGCGAACGCGACTGATTCTGAGATGACAGGCATGGGGCCTCTTCAATGCCAGACGGACCCCCACGTTTCTTCATGGCTGTAACTCCCCACGCCTGCAGCTCCCAACTCCCGGAATCCCGCCGCCAGATCGCATCCACGCCCCGTTGCTCAAGTAGCCCCATGCCCCAGCTGCGACGACCTACCCTCGCAGATGCTCAACCAACTCTTCTCTGAATGAACGCCCTACCTAGCCAAAGTGTTCCCGAAGCTGCACGCTGAACGTCCTCATTATATCCTCTCTCGCCTGCCCTGATGTTTCTTCCGTGCGACGCAGTCTCTCGGGAGCTTATCCTTGACCGAATTCCTCGGCCTGAGTAACCCCATTCTACGCCGCCCACGCAGCCCATGGCAATAGAAAATAACATAGAGGCCGAGGCTAGCAGGCGCCGCGACTTCTCATGCGAGTGCGCTCTGCGCGAGGGATACTTAAAAATGCTGCCACCACTGTTGTGACCTTTGACCCGATTGTTAGGCTCGGGTTCGCCCGTTTGCACGCAGCATGCAAGCCGCATCAGCACCCGCGCAAGTTGCCCCTGACACCCCCCTCCACTGCACTGGTTCCCTGATCATCGACACAGCCACAATATACAGCGGCCAGGGCACGAGGAATTAATGCGCAACCAATCGCGATAGTGCCGCACACTGCCGCAGGCCGCGCCAGGCTACACTGCGAAACAGGAAAAAAAAACTGCCCACGCTCGCAAGAAGTCGCCAGACGGCTGCTCACACTAGAAACCCGCTGCCCTTTTACTCCTCTAAGCTCTGGCGCGCCCTCCTGTTCGAAGACGCGGCCACCCGCTGCCCCGTTGCCAGCACCTCCACGCCGCAGTCAGCGAACCTCCTTTTAGAACGTTCGCTGCCACCGTCGCCGCGCAGCGCGGCAAGGGCTTCGACTATATCCGGCAAAGCTCCTGAGGAGCTCAAAAAGAGCAAACCCCCTATTATTATCGAAAAAATAGAAACAAGTTGCCCCCTATTATCATCGAAAACATAGAAACAAACCGCCCTCTATTAATATCATAAAAATACAGGCGGCATTCCTATATCGCTCGTATTATTTCTGTATTGTTTTTGTATTAATACAACCCAGCCCAAAGGCTCACAACGCATTGCCGAAAATGCTCAAAATACACAAATAATATCAAAATAATATGAAAACCGCATGCAAACCAGACAAGCTCACAACAAAAACAGCGGATCCCGCGCAGCAGTGGATATAACCAACAGAGAACGGATCGTGTGCAGCGCTTCCTCTCTTCCTCCACCTCGTTTGCTTCCCTTCCTTTGTCGTTTCCTGCCGTCGTCCCTCCTCCCCGCCCCCTCGTCCTCGCCCACCCCTGCCTACCGTCGCCTTCCTCCTCTGCTCGTCCACCTCCCTTCCGGCCCCCCACCCCTTCTAAGACTCTTCTCATCCTCCCCCTCTCCTGTTCTGGCCCCTGCCTGAGCAGAACAATCGACGCGGCCGCCGTGCGCCGGGCTCGCCGTCGCGTCTGCCGCTGCACTGCGCGCGACGCGCGCGACCTATTTGACAGAAAGCACGTCGGAGCAATGCTGGGAAAACGCGCAAACAGTGGTTTGCCCGAACCCATGAACCAGGCGCCCAGAGCACGTCGCACTGTTCCCACTCCATGAAGAAATCAGCATTGCTAGCTGCTGCTACAAAGCTGCCACAACCAGGTCGCTGACATGCGACTCGAGCGCCTGCCCGAGCGTCGCTGCCACTAGGTCACTAGGACTAGTGACGAGTGACTAGGCCCCCCTGAAAGGATTTGCAGCGTTCGTTGCTCCCACCAGGCCGACTTGCATGAGTCATGAGGTTTGCCTCAATTCGGTTCCAGCGCCTCCAAGCGAAGTAGAGATCAGCGTTGCCACGCTGGATCCCACCGGGCATCACGAAACAAAAAATGTCGCAACGCCGAGTTCGACTCCAATGCCTGCCCGACTGCGAGCATTGCCAGCAGCTGCCAGCATTGACCCTGCCAAGGCACATCAGAGGATTCCAGCTCGAGCTCGTTGCCCCTGCCATGCCGCACGCGTGGATGTTTGCCAAGAGTTCGGCCCCAGTGGCGCCAGCGCCTGCCCGACTTGTAGAACTGGTAAACGGTAAACCCACCGCCCCTGCGGGTAGCAAGCCATCCTGGATCATCCTGACTCAACATGCACCAGGCCACAATGGCACAATGGCAGTCTGCCGTGCCGTAATTTGCTGGATCTCCCGATCGGCCCGAGCGCGACTTGGACTTGGAATGAACCAGCATGGCGCCAGCGATGGCCCAGGCCAACGCCCGGGCCTGCCCATGCCCCGCCCAGAAGCTCTGGGTGCAAGACATGACCGCGCTCGACGTCGACGAGTCCGACTGCGCTTGGCTTGGCGTTCGCCGGGGCTGCGCCGGGGCCGGCGCCCTCCAGCCTCGCGCAGAACGTCGCCGCAGTGCGCGGCCTGGGCCCGTCAAGCCAACTGGCACCCCAGCACTGACGTCTTCAGCGCCGAGGGCCGCCAGCCGAACGGCCGAGAACAAGGGGAACTAGATCCTGACAGGTCTCCGAAAAGTAGGTAATCCCTCCGGCCACCCTCTTTGCGCGAACTGGAAAAATAGGTGTTCTCCCGGGGAGATGTATTTTTCTTATATAATTATAAAAAATAGAAAAATCATGTGGGAAAAACTATTTTTTTACTATTTTAATAGTTTTTGCGTTTCGTTTTTTTATATTTTTTGCAAAAATACAAAAACGCCGAAACTGAAAAAATGCCCGCCCGCCCCGGGCGCACCCTCGCCGCGTGCTTCCCGATCTGCTCCCCGGCCCCCCTCCCGGGGGCGGCTCTGCAACCTCTGCGGGCGTTGCCTGGGCGGCCTTGGCGCGGGACATCGTCGTCGTCGTCTGGTCGTCGGGCTCCTCGGCTGGAGGCCCCGCGCCTGTTGGCCGTGCTCTGGCTCCCGAGTTGGAGGCTCCGCGCCTGTTGGCTGCGCTCTGGCCTCCCGCCTGTTGGCCGGGCCCGGGGCCCGCCCGATGCCCGACGCCGTGGGGGGCCTCGGGCCCGTCGCCCCCAGCGCGCGCGACGTCGACGCCAACGGGCGGCGCGACAAGGATAATCAAAAAAGCAGATTGGCCTCGGCCCCGGCCCCTGCCCGAGGGCTAAAGTTAGGCTAAAGTTCGGCTAAAGTCACATGCGTTGGGGCGCTGGGCCCCAGGCCGCAAGGGCGCAAGGCGCAAGGGCTACCTAGCACTTACTTACTAACTACAATTACTACAGCCTCTGGTCTGCCAAATGGAACCGAAACCGATGATTGCAACGAACCGCTGGCCGACGGCCCGACGGGCACGGTCGCGGCGCCATGGCCAATTCAATTGCCAAGTGCCCATCCCATGCCATGCCCCCATGGCCCCATGGCCCAACGCCCATGGACGGCAATGGATCGGGCCAGCCAGAAGGTCTGCAGGCTGGGGGCTCAGTCGCTCAGTCCCAAGGCTTGCACAAAACAAACAGAGCGCGCCCGTCTCGGCCCTGGCCCTCCAAGGCGCGGCGCGGCGCATATGTCCAGACGAGGGCAGACATATTGACAACAATTACAAAATCAGGCGCTGCACCGGTGTGCAAACTGCACGCAGGCCCAGGCGCAACATGCCTGCATGCCGCGCGCGGCCCCCTGATCGCGCCAGATAAATGACCGAAGGGGGGGCGGCAATGACGGGGCGCTGTGGTGGCGCTGCTGGCGGCGGCACTGCAACTGCAATGTGACCACGTTGGCAATGTGGCAGCGCTGGCCCCACGACGGCGGCAACCTGTCGGGGGCCGCTCGTCGCTCGTGCTCGCGGCCCGCGGTGATCGCGGGAGCGGGAGCGCGCCGCCCTCTGGTGAGATGACCAAAAAGCCGAAGGCGTTGGGCCTTGGGCTTCGGGCTGGCGGCCTGGGCCCGCGGCCAGGCCAGGCCAAACCAAGGGCGAGCGACCGCCTGCGCTCGCAAGGGCTACCCGGCTACCAGGCAGCGGCCACCAGCAGTGAACTTTACTGTTACTACTAATGCTGCTTTCGTAGGGGGTCCGACTCCTAAGTAGGGTCGCGCTGGGGTAATCCCTCCCCTCAAAGCCACTCTTCCTTTCCCTTTCCTCCTTATCCATACCTTCCCCCCTCGCCTCCCTTTCCCTACATCTTTCACTTCCTGGCCGTTCCCCCCCTCCCTGTTGCGGTGCCCCCCCTTTCCCGGGCGGGCCTCGCCTGCAGAATCAGGGTCCGAAGGCTCCCACATCAGCCAACGGAGCCCAAGTGGCTGCGGGGCGAAAGCACGAGCAACGAAAGGAGGGGCAACAGGAACACGGGCGCCACATCCCCCGGGCAACGGAGGAGGAGGGGAGGAGTGAACCGCAGGTTCTCCGGGGGAGCCCAGGCTGTGGAGAGTCATGCCCTACCTTTTCCCCGGGGAAATTGCCGAAACGTATTATTATATTATATATGCACATGCACATTTTTCTATTCTTCTCATATTATTAGCATCCTTGCTGTGGAAGTGCTGCTCAGGTGTCTGCCGCTTCTAGGGCTTCGATCACAGGAGTCGCCCGGTCTGGAAGGAGAACAGCCGCTGCCTCCGCCTGGCGCTGTGCACGAAAGCGAGCGTCGAAGGCGCGCTGCTCCGCGTGCTGGGACGCCTCCTCCTACGCGGGGGCCTCAATCACCAAGAAGCAATCTACCCACTACTTCCGCACAGCCTCCCATACGCGAGGTACCTCCGCCTACTCCTTCAAAAGTATGGGGCTTCTCGCCCG